AAAAAAAAAAAAAGAAAATAAATGAAGCCTCACAGGCGACAGGTGTCCCAGCGTCCCGGAACAGGAGGAGCCCCGTGGAGGGGAGACCTGTAGAGTGGGAAGTCCGCTCCGTCGCCGCTGGCCAGCTGTGCTCGAAATGTCCCAGGCRGAAACTCGCTCACGCTCGGCCTGGAGAGGTTGGAGGCTCACAGGGTGGGCGCGAGGCGACTCGCGATCACCTTCGAGGAGGCCACGGACTCGGTGCAGGCCGGGGTTGTTTTGGCCACGACGTCACTTCCGATTTTTTTTCTTTCGTTTTCTGGCAAAAAAAGCTCTGCAGCCGAGACGACTTCCAGGTGTTTTTTGTTTGATTGGTTATGGCCGCCCCCGCGGTCCGTCCTGTCCGAGTACCACAGAGACTGGATCACTTCGGTTGACAGCTCTGGGTCACCAGGAGAAGGCCGCAGTCTAGACTCCGGCTACGCCTCCTGTCTGGTTGCCCCGCCCGGCCGCCCCGGCCTAGCGTCAWCCGGGCTGCGTAAGTCTTCTGAGCATGCGCCGTTACGTCATCTTGACGCGACGTTCTCTTCTTGGTGTGTGCCGACTGGGCAGTGGGTGGCCGCGTGACTTTGCCCAGGTGGATTCAGAACGGTCCGGTGCTGGACGCTGGAGAAGTCAAAAAACTTATCCTTGGAAGTCGGGTACCTMGGAGGATCTTTGGGTCTCAGTGGAGGTAGGTGAAGGCGGCTCCTGTGAAGGTAACCCGAACTGTCATCAGGCCTCCCTGTGGTTTCTGGCATGCTCTGGAGATGGTTAAACTTCCTAACCGGCTTTTCAAGATCCCGGCAATGGAATTTAGACCCAGATTTTGCTGCGCTRCAGTCACCTTCTTTCTTGTTCATTTATCAGCTTCCGGAATARTCCTCACCCTTTCAAGGCAATAGGCAGAATTCCATCTTTCTTTGCTTAGAAGGTTCCCTCGGTTTCTAATGACCCCGTATTTCCTCTTCTGCAYCGCCTTCTGCTTGTGCCTGTCGTAAGTGGCGAAGACGGGCTAATGTTATACTTTAATGCCCAGGTGCAATGATACACTCTTTCCATGTAGAATTAAAACTTTTATAAGGCGCTCTCAGTACCCTCCCTGGTCGTTACTCATAGCATTTTATTTGATAGCATTGTATTGCAGTAGTACTTGTTATTCATTTAGATCTTGACTTAGGCCGAATCATTCTCCTTCTCTTCATTTTCACACATTTTTTTTGCCTCAGGCTCTTTGCACTGTGTCTCCCCGCCACCCACATCCCTGCTCTCCACTACTCCTCATTTTGTAATCTGTCAAACCACTGCTACAGCACTTCACTACTACTACTACTACTACTACTACTACTACTACTACTACTACTTCTTCTTCTTCTTCTTCTTCTTCTTCTTCTTCTTCTTCTTCTTTTTTTTAGAGAGAGAGAGAGAATTTTTATTTATTTTTTTTAGTTTTTCGGCGGGCACAACATCTTTCTTTGTATGTGGTGCTGAGGATCCAACTGGGTTGCACGCAYGCCAGGCGAGCGCGCTACCGCTTGAGCCACATCCCCAGCCCCGAGCACTTCACTTCTTTCCACTAAAACTTTAAACTATTTGTTGAAAGGGATAAGAAGTGGTACTCCTATTACTGTAATGAGAGGTAAAGAAGGGAGTCAGGGAGCAGATTTGTGTATTCAGAGATTCAAGAATACTTTTTATAGATGAGCATATGCAGTCCTTGATGTTGGAAGCACTGACTTTGAACTGGAATTAAACRAAATGTTATCCCTTGCCCCCCTAAAATCCTATTTTTCTTATTCTAAACAACAAAAAAAAATTGTGATGTTTATTTTGGGAGGATTGTTAGTAAAACTTTGGGACTTTTTTTTCTTACTTGCTATATAAATAACTATATAATATCCTTCCTTCAATTTTCCTTGTTGGCCCCTCCAAGCCTAAAATATTTACCATTTGGCCCTTTACAGAAAGTTTGTGAACTGGTTCACTGTAGCAGTGTTCATATTTTAAGACAGTACTTGTAATTTTAATTTTGTGTTTCCCCATAGAAATTTACCCAGTGCTTCCTTTCTCTTCTTCCAAAAACATTCTTTGAGCACTTAAAAAAAATCTTTCAGATTCAAAATTTCAATTCAACTTAACAGGGAAAAGAGATCATTCCAATGCAATAGAATTATGTGCATAGACAGAAATATTCAGAGCTAAATAGGATACTAGAAGACAGGACCCCTCCTCAGAGGGCAGAATAGGTTTCCTGGAGAATGATCTGATTCTTATGTTGAGCCTTAAATATTAAATAGCAGTAGGTAGAGGACATTCCTAGCAGAGAGCACAAGTGACAAAGACATTGAGGCAAGAATGAGCATGATGTGTTAAGTGAACAGTTAATGATTGGTAATAACAAAAGATGAGGCTGGAAGGTAAGCTAGGGCCAAATCAGAGAGGACCTTACATTCTTGTTCCTTGTTCTTCCTGTTAAGGAGCTTGTACTTTATTTTCTGGATAGCATTGGGTTTTGTAAGCAAGGCCAGCTGCTTACAAATATTTGAAAATTTGAAATATGGATGGGGTTGAGGGAGGTCAAAGAGACCTTGGAACATTGTTGCATTATTTACACAGATGAGAAAACCTGAATTAGGGTAATGGAACTAGCGGTTAAGTGGACTTAAGGAAGTTTAAGAAAGATTTGGAAGATTAAAATCAGTAGATTTTGTTTACTATTAGGGTGTGAGGAGGATGACAAGTCAAATCTGACTCTAGATTCCTAGCTGCAGCCAATCACCAGCCAAATGAAGAATATTCACCTCTGTATTCCCAGTGCCTGAAACAGTGTCCTGCACTTTATAGGTGCTTGAATGAACAGTAAAGATTTTCTCCTTTAGGCATGAATTGCCATGTTTATCAAAATAGCCTTTAAAATATGTCATATCTATTTGTTTTGGTGTTACCAATGTCATATTTTGGGGCTTTTCAAAACAGATGAAGAATAGCATCACTGGAATCATTCATCTGATATGATAGAATTGAGTCTCTTTTTTTGCCACTGAATAGTTCTGGAAAGATGTTTTAGCTTGATTATGTTAAAGGTTTTAGTTCATTTTTATCTTATTTTGTCACTTTAACTTAGAATTGCCTTTTCTGTTTTTTTCCTACTGTTTAAACCTTTTAAAATTACATTATAAGCTTCTATATCAGAATATTACCTTTTCATTACATTGTAAGCCTTACAAAATTAAGCTTCTCCACTAGAATCATTAGCTTTGGTTTCCTTCTTGGCATTTTTAGACTTTCAGAAAGTCAAGTCTGGGGACTTTATTCTTAAAGATTAAACATCTTCTTAAGTTTCAAGAAAGTTTTGTATTTGTAGTTATAATACATATTTCCTATGGTYAAACCTGAAGCCAGTGTGCTTCTTTCTGGTTTGACTACCAGAAGGCTGCACCAGATTTATTCCTAACTATTGCAAACTGGTCAGGTAGGTGTGAGAACATTTGTATACAGCCCTTACGTACAGCTGAATAGATGGTACAGTGTGGTAACCTGACCTATATTCTTCTTGTTTCCTTTAGATTATCTCTTCTGGGTTACAATTAAGTGGTTTATTGGTCTATAAACTTCCACATAGCCTTCTGAAAGAAAGCAGAGTAAAAATCATATCCATATGTTTATGAATAATGTGTGTTTTAAAATATTTTCTTTTTCAGAGTTAAGCAGAGTCACTATAATTATTTCTAACATCAACTCTAAATTATTGACCTTGGACAAGAGTGCAATTATATGAAATCATGGCTGGTTATAAACCTGTAGCTATTCAAACATATCCTATACTTGGTGAAAAAATCACCCAAGATACTCTGTACTGGAACAACTATAAGGTAAGTATGGGAGATAATGAGGGAGGAGGGGAATTATGTTTATTTATTTATGCATTTATACCCATTTTTTCCTGCATATGTTATGCTTTAGGTATACTGACAGACCATTAACTAAAAACAATCTATGAGAGGCTTATAGTTGGGTAGATAACATGACACCTATTTATATCTTGGAATTCTATAAAAAGTCTATATTACTTGATAYGTACAAGGGCCTAACTCAGAATATATGACTAATCAATACCAAATGAAATAAATTTTAGAATTTATTTCATTATTATATGTGAGAAGTATTTTCTTTCTTTTTTAAATCTAAGTGCTGTGAAATTAGTTCTATATCTTCTAATAAGGTTTACAAGTGATTTTTTTTTTTTTTTTAGATGGAAAAACTAAATAGGAAACTGAAAAAAAGTTTGGAAGTGGGCAGTTTGTGGAAAAAAAATACAAATATACAGTAAATATATTAAATGGTCATGAGGGCTACTTGGAAATTAGTACACATTTGGAAGGCAATTTGACAGTATCTGTTATGATTTTTAAAATGCAGATGTCCTTTGGCTTTGTACTTTGATAACTTGAAACATAATCAATATACTCCCCAAGGTTTGTTTAAGTATATATGTATGTGTGTGTGTGTATATATATGCATATACATATATTATGTATATGTATCTTAACATTTATATGTATACATGCATACGTATGCATATTAGATGTAAACTTATCAAAGTATTATATGTAAGAATTCCTGAAAAACTTGTGTCTATTACTAGTCAGCTGCTATAATAAATTTTGGTATATCCTTATAATGAATAGTTAATCTGTTGTTTTCTATATGAAAGTTTGCTAAGATGGGTTATTTAGTGACAAAAAGCAAGGTATATAACTGCCTGCATAGTATGGTCATGTTTGTGTTAATTTTTAAAAAACTAAATGTATGCTGGTAAAGACTTTACTTTTTCTTTTCTGTTGGAAATTACAGCATATAGCAACTGAAGAGATGGTGGGGTGTAGCTTTCTAGCCATGTTTATTTAAGTTAGCAGCAACAAGAATAGTCTGGGTGATGGGATATTGCCCTTTTTTGATTCTTTTGTATTCGTAAAACCTGATAAACCTAATAAATGTTATTAAGAACAAWCAAATTATCTGTAAGAAATTACATAATGCTTAAATAGGTTTTCCAGGTGTAATTCTGTTAATACTCTTCATTCTTTTTCATGAAGACCCCTGTTCAGATTAAGGAATTTGGTGCAGTGTCAAAAGTAGACTTTTCTCCCCAGCCTCCATATAACTATGCAGTCACAGCTTCCTCAAGAGTAAGTACAATAATATTTTTTTTTTTTTTTAGTTTACTATTGATCTTGAGCCCCTGGTAAAAATATTGTTTTTTATCTTATAGATTCACATTTATGGCCGATACTCCCAAGAACCTATAAAAACCTTTTCCCGWTTTAAAGACACAGCATATTGTGCTACTTTTCGACAAGATGGTAGATTGCTTGTGGCCGGCAGTGAAGATGGTGGAGTTCAGCTTTTTGATATAAGCGGCAGGGCTCCCCTCAGACAGTTTGAAGGCCATACAAAGTAAGAGACAGTGGTTTTTATGTTTTTGTTTTATTTGTTGRAGCAAAACAATAGCTTCAGCATTTAAAATACTCATTTTCATTAAGCAGCTAAGTAGAATTATTAACATACTACAAAATGCAATTTTAAGACTGTTGTTCAATATTCTTATTAACTTTATAGTGTAGTGGTATTACCATTTTTAAATTGGCTTGTGGCAAATACCTGTTTTAAAAGATTTTTTTTTCTCTCATGATTTCTTTCTATAAATATTCTCTGAAAAAGGAATGTTTTCTGTTTGAAGGTATAATAAATATAATTTTTTCTTGCTTTTTAATATACTGGCTCTTGTTCTTTCAGAGCAGTTCATACAGTAGATTTTACAGCTGACAAATACCATGTGGTCTCTGGGGCTGATGATTATACAGTTAAATTATGGGATATTCCAAACTCAAAAGAAATTCTGACATTCAAAGAACATTCTGATTATGTACGATGTGGATGTGCTAGCAAACTGAACCCAGATCTCTTTGTAACAGGTTGGTGAACTCTTTGCATTTTATTGCTATGGGATTCTTTTGGGATAGAGAGGTTTAACTTTTTTTTTTTTTTTTTAAATAGGACTGGGGGGTATAGCTCAGTGGTAGAGTGCTTGCCTAGCATGTGTGAGGCCCTGGGTTCAATTCCCAGCATTGGGGAAAAAACATTAAAAAGGATTTTTTAAATTAATTATATAATTATTTTTTCTTTTTTTCCTTTTAGTGGTTGTTCTGTTGTCCTCTAAATGTGTTTAGAAATATCAGGCTGTCTTGAAAACATAGGYTATCAAAACTGTCATGGGTTTAGTCTCCTGTTATTCAGAGAACTTCTAGCAGCCAAGACACTGTAGTGTTTTTACATGCAGTTCAGTTTTTAAGGGATTCTGTATAAAGATACCCAGATGATTCCACAGTGACAGTAGTCTGAAGATAGGAATAATTTAAGATAAGAGCAGGTTAAATACTATGTAGAAATATATACTGCTTCTTCAGAAACAATAAGTCGTAGCAGAGGATTTAGAAATATTGTGTCGGGTTAATATATGTAGGCTTTTTWAAAAAAATTCYATCTAAAGTTTATCTCCTTTGAAAATTTATGTCTGGACACACATATACTTGTGTAGTTTTTATTTTTTTAGATGGTAAAACACACATAATACAAAAAATTGATATTTTAGGGTCATATGATCATACTGTGAAGATGTTTGATGCGCGAACAAATAAGAGTGTTCTCTCTGTGGAGCATGGGCAGCCAGTGGAGAGTGTCCTGCTTTTCCCCTCTGGAGGTCTTCTGGTGTCTTCAGGTATCTCTTTTAGCTCTCATCAGTATTGTTCTTGAATCAAACTTTTCTTTATCAATTGTTATTTATAATTTTTTAGTTTGTATTTGGATTACATATCTAAGTTTTTGCTTAAACAGTTGATAAGTGGGACAGGCAAATAGCTATTTATTGAAAGCGTAGTTGAGCCAAGCACTGTGCTGTTATATACAAATTATTTCTAATGCCTTCCAAAAGTCCTATAGGATTGTTAGTTTTCTCACTGCTTTACAACCAAGGAGATAAATGAAAATTTCAACTAATTGTCCGAGGCAAAATGATATGTGGCARTTCCAAAATTCCAGAATTGAAAACTCTTATTATGCATTTAACTCTGTGTCATTTGACCCCAGAAATCTATTGGGTGCTCCTTTTGTTATTCCTGCATAAGAGATTTATAGCAGCTTTTGAAAACAGGATCTTTTAGATCTAGAATCAGGCTTGTTACTTTTTATGTATCTCTATTGATAAAATGTTCTTACCCAGTAGTCGTTGATAGTGCTGGAGGAGGAGCTAATGTGGAGTCAGGCATTTTCTTCAAATTGGGGCAGAAGATTTTTTTGATTAGTCCATTTTTATGATGATAATAGAAGAAGTAATTTGACTTTTATTCATTTCTTAACAAAGCAGAAATCTGTCAGCAGCATTGCCACACACCTATAATCCCAGTGGYTTGGGAGGCTGAGGCAGGAGAATTGCGGGTTCAAAACCAGCTTAAGCAACTTAGAGAGGCCCTAAGCAACTTAGCAACTCTATGTCTAAATAAAATATAAAAAGGGATGGGGATGTGGCTCAGTGGTAAATTGCCCCTGGGTTCAATTCCTGGTACCAAAAAAAAAAAAAAAAATTGAAAAAGTGTTCACATTAGAAGAATGTACAGGTAGTATGGATACTTCATAGCATACACATGGTAGTGTGTGCACCCATTCTTTTTGGCTTATCCTGTTTTATATTCTTTTTTCCTAGTACCTGTTTTTGTTTTAGTTTTTTTTTTAAAAGCAATAAGTTGACACCATTGTCAGATGTATCTATTTTTCTTGTTATTTTGAGAAWTAGAAATAAGGCCAGGTTGAACAGGAGAATGAAAACCTATATGCTTATCTGCACTGTGCCATTGTCACTAGCTAGTTGTGTGACCTTGGGCAGTCACTTAATGTCTCTAGACTTGGAAAATAAGAGATTGGACTAGATCATTAGTTTCAAACTGTGATTCCTTTCATAAACTGCTACATTGAAGTAGGAAGGTAGGGATTGTGGATTGAATTGCAGCCCTGTTTCCCCAAATGATACAAAAGCTTCATTCCCCCATCCCTTTTTCTATTTTCTCTACTAGATTTTTTTTCTTGACATTTTGTTGAAAAAAGATACTGAATTTAAAATGTTCTTAAGCATCTGGACAGTTCTGTAAGGTGGGAAGTGTTATTATTTAGTCACATACTTCGTGGGTTGGGGAGCCAGGATTTAAACCAGGCAGTGTGGCTCTGGAACCTCTCACTCCACCTCTACCCTAAGGAATGTCTAGTGAAGGATGTTTTTCAGCTCCTTAAAATGTTGTTGATGTGGGTAGAATATCAAACTCATGACTATTTCTTTTTATAGGAGGTCGCTATGTTAAAGTTTGGGACATGTTAAAAGGACAGTTGCTCGTGTCTTTGAAAAATCATCACAAAACTGTCACATGTTTATGTCTGAGCAGCTCTGGACAGAGGTTACTCTCAGGCTCACTGGATAGGTTGGCATTTTAATTTTCTTGTTTATCTTTATTAATTTACAAGTATTTATTGCTTGAGAAAATAAAGTATTTTAGCAATATTTGTGGTAAATAAATAAATACATTAATCTTTTAAAATAATCTATAGTTTCTTTTAAAATCATTATACAGTTATATATTTTGAAGTTTTTTATTATGAATATGTATATTATTCTAGATGTTTAAAATTTAAAGCTTCATGTGAACATTTCTATCATTGATATCCAAATATTACTATTTTAAATAGATATTTACTATTCCATTTATTAATGTTCTAAARCTGTGCTTCACACAAGCAGCCCTCACAACATGATTCTCTGACCCCAAATATCTGTAATACAGAGGTTGTAAAACTGTTCTGTTCTTTTGACTTGCAGTGGACATTCATGGATTCCTTTTTTTTTTTTTTTTTAACTTGCAGGTTTTATCTTTAAATGACAGTGGTTCATGGTCTACCCTTTGGTTTCTATTTTAAGTRGCTAATCAAAGTCTTTATTCATGTATGGCCAGTGCTGAAATGTAGCTCATTTTTTAAAGGGATTCAGTGAAGAATTGTTTTTCTAAACTGTTATATAAATTTTAATGTTCATATATTGAGTTTTCCAATAGATGAATTGAAATGGAAAAATGCATTTTATACTCAAGATGATTTTTGACAATTCTTTCTTTTTTATTAGGAAGGTGAAAGTATATAGCACGACTTCCTACAAAGTAGTCCACAGTTTTGATTATGCAGCTTCAATTTTAAGTCTTGCACTTGCAGTAAGTACTTTTAGCTTTTATTAAAAGCTGTCACTAACCTTGTCTGTTAAATGAAAATACGATGGAATTTTAGGGTTTATCTTTGGATTAGAATAAACCACATTAGCTCTTAAGTTCTAGAATATGAGTTGTCCTAATAACTTAGCATCAATTTAGATTTAGGTTCCAATGACTCCTGTAGTAAGTACAGTGCTGTGGGCATTATTAACATCAGGGATTGAACCTAGAAAGTTGATAAATCTCTCTTCAACACATTTAACTCAAGGGTATTACGGTACTTTAGAAAGGCAATTTTGGCTCTATGTGTGTACACACACACACACACACACACACACACACACACACACCCACACACCATGAAGTGAGAAAGGAGCAGCAAAACGAATATTTCCTTTCTTTGTTGACTGTTTTTTCTGGAATGTCCGTTATCAGGTTTCTAAGGAGCCACATTTGGGCTGGAATATGTTTGAATACATTATATAAAAATCTGAATTGGGAGCAGAAAAGCTAATTAAAAACTATTTTGGAAAGCAGTTCTGTGAAAAGTCATGCCACCGTGTAATCCTTTTTCTAATCAGAGAATGCAGAAAAATTATTTTGAATCTTTTCTAAGATGCCATTAACTGTGTCTTATTATATATACTTTGCCAGTGATATTTTACAAGTATAATAAGTTCCATCAAYGTAATGGTGTCCTAGAGGAAAAAATGATTTTGCTTTTAACATTTTGCATAGATCATTGTTAGTTATAGTTTCTATGTCTGAATGATGCTGTTGATGATAGAGTGCATAAGTAGCAAACATGGTATAAAGGTGCTATAAAATTATTACACTGAAATAGACTAATGTATTTCTAATTGCTATTAGCATGAAGATGAGACAATAGTTGTAGGAATGACCAATGGAATATTGAGTGTTAAACATCGGAAGTCTGAAGCAAAGAAAGATCCTCTTCCAAGAAGAAGAAGGCCTGCATATMGAACCTTTATTAAAGGAAAAAATTACATGAAACAACGGGTAATTATATATTTCTCATATCTTTTAAAAGGTGACATTTCTTAAAGTAGCCAATTTCATCCCTGCCTATTACTAGAAAGTGTAGTTTGCGTGGTATTTAACTTTATTTTGCTTTTGGCTTTATTAGAATTGGCTCCAGATTGCTATATTGGGAACATTATTGAATAATTATTGAGTAATAATGGGGAACAAAGGCTAGTTTATTTAATATTCTGAGCCATAACATAATAATGATACAGTGCATCACCGTGTTCAAAACACTGTCTTTAACACACTGTCTGATTTGCTTTTCTAAATGACTCCTGCCAATAATGTCTCTATTTGGCATCTGAGAAGATTGAAATACACAAAGCTTTGATTGATTCAGTATTCCATTACTGGTATCCAGAGATGTTAGAACTAGATCTTAATATCTCTGATTCTCGTTTTATTATTCTGCCTGCCATGTAAAGAGGATTGAGAAAGTTGTAAGTAGAAAATCATAAAAGAGTAAGAACACATTGATTGACAAATCATTATGGACATATGAAYATTATCTGACATAGTGTAAAGGCACCTGATTAAAAAAAATCATTATTTCATTGTGAAAAAGTTTGTTTTGAATGGAACTTGGTATATGCTGATTTTCTTCCTCCATACAGGATGATATTTTGATCAATAGGCCAACAAAGAAACACCTAGAATTGTATGACAGGGATCTGAAAAATTTTAGGATCTCTAAGGCACTTGACAGAGTCCTTGAGGTGAGTAAGGGGCATTTTTTTTTTTTTTTTAATCATTTTAGTATTTGGTTTGTGTATTACCATGACTTGGAATTGTGGAAGTAGAAGAAACTTGGTGATTTAGCAAGGTGATTTTTTTTTTTTTAACCCCATTTTTTCTCCTCATGTTTTTCTAGCCTAGTTGTGTAATAAAGACTCCTGAGGTTACAGTTTCCATCATAAAAGAACTAAATCGAAGAGGAGTCCTTGCAAATGCCCTTGCGGGTCGGGATGAAAAGGAAATTAGTCGTGTTCTTAATTTTTTGATAAGGTATGTTTTATGTTTATGAAACATTTGTATGTTTCATCAAAATCCTTCTTTAACACCTAATGAGAGACATTTATTTTTAGTTTGATCTTTGTGAGAAACTGGTAGAACAATTAAATCTGCTTTAGGGAGTTTTTAAAAGTTTGGAGGTTTCATTAAATAGAAGTTTTGCTTTGTAGGAATTTGTCTCAACCAAGATTTGCCCCTGTTTTGATCAATGCTGCTGAAATAATTATTGGTAAGTGTTGTTAAAACTTAAAAATCCTAACATAGTTGTATAAGTAGAGGTGTTGGGTTGGGGGTATAGCTCAGTGGTAGCATGCTTGCCTAACATGTGCAAGGTTCTGTGTTTGATCCCAGCACTACCTACCCCTCCCACCTCCAARAAAAAGTAGAGGCATCATGATCAAATAAAAATTTAGAAATTCGAAGCAATTTTACTTGTTTTGCTTTTTATCAGTTGTCCAATAAGGATTTTCATGAAGAAGACAAAATATCAATAATATATCATTGCAGTTCAAAATGGAGTAAAGTTCACAGCGGCATGACTTAGAATTGACAGGATTAGGGTTATTAAAATTAAAAAGAAATGTTTCCATAAACATCTGAAATGACCATGACTATTTTTTAATGGGAAAATGAAAATGAGACTACTGCTTTGTCGTTTCTATAATTATGTTTTTATGAAATGCATTTATTTAGATGAATTATTATGCTTTCTGTATATCATGAATTGATTATAAAATAAGTACAGATTTTTTTCAGTGTTTTTGTATTTAATATTTTAATACTTTTCTAACACTTGATTTTTACTTATTATATATAGAAAGCTGTTTCTAGTTTATGTGTTTCCTTCTCTTTTTAGATATATATCTGCCTGTGATTGGTCAGTCACCTGTAGTTGATAAAAAGTTTATATTACTTCAAGGACTTGTAGAAAAAGAGATTGATTACCAAAGAGAGCTCCTAGAAACCTTGGGAATGATGGACATGCTTTTTGCTACCATGACAAGGCAAGAAAGCTCTTCTTTGTTGGAACATACATCTGTTGAATTTCCAGACAAGAAGAAGACAGCATCGTAGTGTTGTCTTAATAGGACAAAGAAGAACTTCTAACTTTGGATAGATTTGACTCTAATAACTATTGGAAAGAAAATGTCTTGCTATATTAAAAARACTACACAGAAGCAACTTTATAGAAGAGACTGGAATAATTATGATTGGAAAATAAGTACCTTTTCTAATACATGGTTTTCCATGTAAGAAATGATTTTATGGCATCGTCAGCTAGAAGATCTCATTTATCTTGGTCGAAGTGTTGGTCTACCTTGGATGAGTTGATACCGACTTTAATAAGCAATGTTTTGTGTCAGCCTTTGGGTAGGCATTCACATAAGAGTTCAAATATGAATCCTTTCTGGAGAAGTTCCAACTGGGAATCCTGCCAAATGAACAGAGCTTTTTTTTTTTTTTTTYYTTTTTTCTTCTAGYCTTGAAACAACAAAAACACATGGCAACAACATTAGAACTCCACTGTAATCAGTGCCCTTGGGGTTTTGGGGCCCTTGCCCCCACTTGGTGGCCCTCTGCCACCKCTCCCTTGTTATCATCACTGTTTTAATCACGTGCTCTGTCTGAGCTGGTCTGGGAACTGTGTCTGTTCCAAGTGTGACAGATTGCTGGTCAGCCCTGAATAGTTCATATTGGACAAGTGTTCAGAGGATGATAAGGCAGATTTGATGCCTAAAAATTATGCTCTCCAGCCCAGGTTTTTCTTTTTATTTAGTCTCAACTATTCTTACTAGAATAGTAAGGTCTACAGATAGACCGTATTGGACTGCATTTCCCCCCTTTCCTTTAATATGTGGGCTTTCCACCAAGTTTAGGTCAGGAGAAAGATAAAATTTGTCACTTCTTTTGTAATAAAATAGCCTTTCAGCCTACTATGTACATGTTTGTATCTTATTTTATAGCTACCTGTCCCTCTCAAAACTCTTCTCTGATCTAAGAATTTATTTTTTCTGTTCTTAATAATTACCTTGTGGTTCGGAACCTCAAACCAGAGCAGCTTACTTTGAAAAATAGTTTTTGAAAGCTTAATGYAAATTACATTTTTATTAAAGAGATTCTTATTTTCTTATTGGCTTTTTGGTAAGTACCAATTCCTGATGGATAATGTCTAGTAACTCCTAGCACACAGTTCACAATTGCTACCTCTCCCACCTTCCCCCAATTTCTACCAACCTCAGTTAGTAATGTGTATAGTAATGATGTCTTGAGCTAGAAGAATCTTTAGAGAAAGATTTTATTATGGGAATCTCTCATAATTTTGGTTTTGTAAATTCAGGTTTTCATAAAATGGAAAAAAGTGGGCTAATGTGTTCTAGTACGGCCATAAGCACAAATGTAAGGTATAGTTTCCCTTTTGTGAATTGTATAAGCAATCAGGCAGCACAATGGCTTGTAAGAAACCAGGAGTTTGCTTCCCTGAGTAATTATGAGATTAATCAAGATCAGAAGCTGTGTTTTCAGGTTGAAAAGGATTAATTTATTTAAATAAAATTTCTTTTTAAAAGCTTTTTTTACATTAAAAAACTTTGTAAGCATGCTGATAATTAACGTACTAGAGTTGAAATTCTAACGAACTGTGGCTRCTATCAGTTGTGAAACATCGGAGTTTTTTGTAGTTATTTCATGTGGTTCTCACCACAGCCATCCAAGTCATCAATATTTTTAAGTTCAATTGTTTTTATATTCATGGGGATAAATATGCTACTTGAAGTATTTTAGCCTAATTGTCATGGTATAATATGTAACGTTGGCTTTAAGATTTTAATTTAAAATGCCTAACAGATTTTTGTGATTTTTAGTTGGAAGATATTTTTAAATGTTACTAAGTCTGCAAAAATACTGAAATGTTTTGAAGAACTTAGAAGGTCATTATATGTTTAACTTAATATGTTTGTAAGAGTTAAACACTTGAGAAGGTTTTGCCTGTTGGGTCAAGCAGTGGAAGTCCTGTTTAAAAGAGAATCAGATTCTTAAATCTAAATATTTTTTAATTGTATAAAGGAATTTGTAAGTGGAACAGTTAGAAGAAATTTACTTTGTGCAACTTAAATGAATAATTCCAAGCAATAGGAAAGGGGTCACTTGAAAGTAATCATTAAAATGAGGTTTTCCAAATGGAATATTTCTAAGTTATACTTAAAAATGCTTAAGGAAAATTTTGAAATGCCTTACTTTAACAAGTAATTATAAATAGCCTTATTTCTTAGACATTGAAAAATACTCACTGGTAGGTAGATGGCTACATGCCTGTTCCCTTGGCCATTGTTAACTGTAACAGTTGCACCTGACTCTTCAAAGACTTTGTTCTGTTTCAGAGCCATTCTCCACTTCTTTTTTCTATGGATGTTTCTTCCTTAACTGTATTTAATTCTGTTTAATTGCCTTCTCAGTGTCCATTCATATGGTTCAAACCCCTGACAGTTCTTTATTCTGACCTGTGAGAGTGTGGGCACAGTGATTCCTGCTGGGGCATATCACAGATGTATTTTCAGGTTACTTATAGCTTGGCACAGACTTAACATCTTGAGCCATCTCCACTCAGTTTTTYTAGGGTCTTTCCCTACCTAGGCCCAAATTTTTCTAACTCTTACTTGTTCTGTCTAACATAGTAGCCACTAGCCATAGCTGGCTATTTAAAATTAAAATTTATTGAAGCTTAAAGATTCCGGTCCTCAGTCATACTTGTCACATTTTAAGTGCTCTACAGCTACAAATGTCTAGGGGTAACCATATTGGACAGCACAGATATAGAACAGTTTGATCACCACAGAAGACTGTCTTAGAGATCCTTAGACCTTTGGCTCCTGAGAGATCTCTTCCTGTTGAGGGCCCATGTCCACTTCTTTGACTTGGTCTGAAGCACTTACTTGGTAGCCACTTGATCTGCCAACCTGCTTAACCCCTGGGTTTGATCCTTCCTGGATGTATTTTAGAGTTCTCCAGAAAAAACAAAACTAATAGGATATATATATATAAAATATGTTATATAATATGTATCATTTGTATCTTTCTGTAAGAGGAAATTAATTAGAATTGATTCATGCAATTCTGGAGGCTGAGAAGTCTCACAGTAAGTTGTCTGAAACTGAAGAACCATGAAAGCTGGTAAAGGGGCTCAGTCTTAAGTCCAAAGGACCCAGAACCAGTGTTAGGGTTTAGATATGCTGTGTCCTCCAAGAGTTCATATGTGAGACAATGGGGAGGTTTCAGATGTAAAATGAGTAAAATTATGAGAGCCCTAACCTAATCAGTGGATTAATTCACTGATACAGATTGACTGGGTGGTAACTGTAGGCAGAGAGGGTGTGGCTGGAGGTAGTAAGTCACTGGGGATGTGCCTCTGGAGGTTATATTTTGTCCCTTGTGAGAGTAGCTCTCTCTGCTTCCTTGTTGCCATGTCCTGAGCTGTTTTTCTTCACCATGCCCTTTCATCATGATATTTTGCCTCATTTTGTCTCMCCTCCAACCCAGAGCTATGGGAGTTGGCTGATTGTGGACTGATCCTCTGAAACTGAGCCGAAATAAACTTTTCCTCCTGTATGTTGTTCTTTTGGGTCAGTAAGAAAAGCTATTTTTTTTTTTTTGTCACAGTAATGAAAAGCTAATTAAGCCATTAGGAAAACTAACAGTGTAACAAAGGCCTGAGATGTGGGTTGGGTGATGGGATGGGAGGAGGAACTGGTGCACCTGGAAAACTGGTGAACTGGAAAACCTGGAATTCTGAGGCTCACAGGCAAGAGAACTGTCTCAGCTCCAGAAAAGTGAGGCARTTCATCTTTTTTTCTGCCCTCTTGTTCTTTCCAGGCCCTCAACAGATTGGATGGTGGGAGCAACACTGGGGACAAGTCTTCCTCAGTTCACTGATTGAAAATACCTAGAAACACCGTCTCAGACATATATAGAAACAATGCTTTACCAGCTACCCAGTGTCCCGTATTCTAGTCACATTGAGTGCTGAAATTTGCCATCACACTGGCCATGGCCCCTGACCCTGAGTGCCCCAGATCTGACCCTAGGTTTTCTTTCATTGATTTTTGCTCTTATTCTGCTCACAAATCTTGATCCTTCCAGCCTTGCTGTTTTGCACCAGCCTACAGRTATTTTCCCCAGATTCTTATGAACCCACAAATTTGGGGAGAGCTTCTGCTGTGCTCTGCAGCAATCTTTACTAGGCTGGAGGATCCGTCCCTACTTGCAGAGCCTTAGGTAATGATCAGAGAGCATAATAATTCACATGCACATRTTAGCATTCTTATGTTTCATTTACCAAACCTTTCTAGACCATAAACRGTGTTCCCTGAGTCCTGGGGCTGTGATAATGTTTGTGGATGAGACAGGCACTCTGTTCTTTTGAGGCTTCTTATGTTGCACATAGCCATCACCATGCCCTAGAAGGTCTCACCCTCTCAACAAGAAATTCATCGCTAACCTCTAGGCAGCTGCACATCCACATGGAGATTCCCTCAACAAACAGCAGGGGGAGCGCTAGGCAAACTCAAGCTATTGCTGATTTGTTTCCATTTTCCTCAACCTTGTAGACACTGCTCTGCCCTGAATGGCTGCAACTCCTCTGTTTTGGAGGAATAACTATGGCTTTGAGAACCACCAAGCCCCTTCACTAGTCAAAAGAGGAAATTCGTTAACTAATTTTTATTTTTTCACATCTATATCTTTAGTCAGTTCATTTGGAACTTAAGCACCTGTGACTAATTGTGAACTTTGACATGAACAGGTAAAGGAGAGTTTGGGAGATGAAGAAGTGATTTTTTACATTTAAAACTACAATGTTGAGTGAAAAACCAGCTYTGAATGTAAACTTGATTTGATAATGCCCTTTGCCTTGGCAGGGAGAGAGGACAAACGGGACATTGAAACAAAAAACTTGAAGCTTTCTGACCTAAGAGGGATYTTAACATTTTAGGGAGGTGGATTAGGGACCAGTGCAATTAGAGTGTTGTAAAGACCACACCCAGTGGCTTCCAGGGATGGAGGGAAACAAACTGGTAGGGAATCAGRCCTGTTTGGCCTATCATGTAGTATATCAATGACTGTATTGATGAAAAGTTTTCCTAAAGCAGCCAAACTTGAGGAGATGGGAGAGCAGGTCTCAAATTTGCCTT